AACTACTCCTCACCCCAATCAACATACACCTCCATCAACAAACACCCCATCAGCACACAACCTCATCAACTACCCCCCCCCCCCAATCAACATACACATCCAACAACAAACACCCCATCAGCATATACCCTCATCAACAAACACCCCATCAGCACACAACCTCATCAACTACTCCCCCCCCCCAATCAACATACACCTCCATCAACAAACACCCCATCAGCACACACCCTCATCAACTACTCCTCTCCCAATCAACATACTCCTCCTTCAACAAACACCCCATCAGCATATACCCTCATCAACAAACACCCCATCAGCATATACCCTCATCAACAAAAAACCTAATATCAATCAACTGCAGGCCCATCAACAACACCCTATCAACTAAAGACCCGTCACCATTTCCCCAATCAACATACACCTCCATCAACAAACACCCCATCAACATACAACTCCATCAACAAGCACCCCAATCAACATACACCTCCATCAACAAACACCCCATCAGCACACACCCTCATCAACAAACACCCCATCAACACACACCCTCATCAACAAACACCCCATCAACACACACCCTCAGCTACTCCTCCCCCAATAAACATACACCTCCATCAACAAACACCCCAATCAACATACACCTCCATCAACAAACACCTCATCAACATACAACTCCATCAACAAACACCCCATCATCACACACCCTCATCAACTACTCCTCCCCCAATCAACATACACCTCCACCAACAAACACCCCATCAGTACACACCCTCCTCAACAAACACCCCATCAGCACGCACCCTTATGAACTACTCCTCCACCCAATCAACATACACCACCATCAGCAAACACCCAATCAACATACACCTCCATCAACAAACCCCCCAATCAACATACACCTCCATCAACAAACCCCTCATCAACATACAACTCCATCAACAAACACCCCATTAGCACACACCCTCATCAGCTACTCCTCCCCCAATCAACATACACCTCCATCAACAAACCCCTCATCAACATACAACTCCATCAACAAACCCCCCATCATCACACACCCTCATCAACTACTCCTCCCCCCAATCAACATACACATCCATCAACAAACACCACATCAGCATATACCCTCATCAACAAACACCCCATCAGCACCCAACCTCAACAACTCCTCCCCCCCCCCAATCAACATACACCTCCATCAACAAACACCACATCAGCATATACCCTCATCAACAAACACCCCATCCGCATACACCTCCATCAATAAACACCCCATCAGCACACACCCTCATCAACTCCTCCTTCCCCAATCAACATAAACCTCCATCATCAACACCCCATCAGCACACACCGTCATCAACTCCTCCTTCCCCCAATCAACATACACATCCATCAACAAACACCCCATCAGTATATACCCTCATCAACAAACCCCCCATTAGCACACACCCTCATCAACTACTCCTTCCCCCAATCAACATACACATCCATCAACAAACACCACATCAGCATATACCCTCATCAACAAACACCCCATCCGCATACACCTCCATCAATAAACACCCCATCAGCACACACCCTCATCAACAAACACCCCATCACCACACTCCCTCAGCTACTCCTCCCCCAATAAACATACACCTCCATCAACAAACACCCCATAAGCACACACCCTTATGAACTACTCCCCCCCCCAATCAACATACACCTCCATCAACAAACCCCCCATCAGCCCACACCCTCATCACCAAACACCCCATCAGCACACACCCTCATCAACAAACACCCCATCACCACACTCCCTCAGCTACTCCTCCCCCAATAAACATACACCTCCATCAACAAACACCCCAATCAACAAACACCTCCATCAACAAACACCCCATCAGCTCACACCCTCATCAACTCCTCCTTCCCCCAATCAACATACACATCCATCAACAAACACCCCATCAGTATATACCCCCATCAACAAACACCCCATTAGCACACACCCTCATCAACTCCTCCCCCAATCAACATACACCTCCATCAACAAACACGTCATCAACATGCAACTCCATCAACAAACACCCCATCATCATACACCCTCATCAACTACTCCTCCCCCAATCAACATACACCTCCACCAACAAACACCCCATCAGTACATACCCTCCTCAACAAACACCCCATCAGCACACACCCTTATGAACTACTCCTCCCCCCAATCAACATACACCACCATCAGCAAACACCCAATCAACATACACCTCCATCAACAAACACCCCATCAACATACACCTCCATCAACAAACACCCCATCAGCATATACCCTTATCAACAAACACCCCATCCGCATACACCTCCATCAATAAACACCCCATCAGCATATACCCTCATCAACAAACACCCATCAGCATATACCCTCATCAACAAACACCCCATCCGCATACACCTCCATCAATAAACACCCCATCAGCACACACCCTCATCAACTACTCCTCCTCCCCAATCAACATACACCTCCATCATCAACACCCCATCAGCATATACCCTCATCAACAAACACCCCATCAGCATATACCCTCATCAACACCTCCTCCCCCAATCAGCATACACCTCAATCAACAAACACCCCATCAGCATACACCTCCATCAACAAACACCCCATCAGCTTGCCCTTCCATCAACAAACACCCCATTAGCCCACTCCCTCATCAACTCCTCCCCCAATCAACATACACCTCCATCGACAAACACCCCATCAGCACACACCTCCATCAACAAACACCCCATCAGCATACACCTCCATCAACAAACACCCCATTAGCACACACTCTCATCAACTACTCCTCCCCCAATCAACAGACACCTCCATCAACATACACCCCATCAGCATATATCCTTATCAACAAACACCCCATCAGCACACACCCTCATCAACTACTCCGCCCCCTAATCAACATACACCTCCATCAACAAACACCCCCCCAATCAACATACCCCTCCATCAACAAACACCCCATCAGCATATATCCTTATCAACAAACACCCCATCAGACCCTCATCAACAAACACCCCATTAGCACACACCCTCATCAACTCCTCCCCCAATCAACATACACCTCCATCAACAAACACCCCAATCTACATACACCTCCATCAACAAACACCCCATTAACATACACCTCCCATACACATCCATCAACAAACACCCCATCAGCATATACCCTCACCAACAAACACCCCATCAGCACACATCCTCATCAACTCCTCCTCCCCCTAATCAACATACACCTCCATCAACAAACACCCCCCCAATCAACATACCCCTCCATCAACAAACACCCCAATCTACATACACCTCCATCAACAAACACCCCATTAACATACACCTCCCATACACATCCATCAACAAACACCCCATCAGCATATACCCTCATCAACAAACCCCCCATCAGCACACATCCTCATCAACTACTCCTCCCCGTAATCAACATACACCTCCATCAACAAACACCCCATCAGCAAACACCTCCATCAACAAACACCCCATCAGCACACACCGTCATCAACTACTCCTCCCCCAATCAACATACCCCTCCACCAACAAACACCCCATCAGTATATACCCTCATCAACAGACACCCCATCAGCACACACCCTCATCAACTACTCCTCCCCAGTCAGCATACACCTCCATCAACAAACACCCCATCAGTATATACCCTCATCAACAGACACCCCATCAGCACACACCCTCATCAACTACTCCTCCCCAGTCAGCATACACCTCCATCAACAAACACCCCATTAGCACACACCCTCATCAACTACTCCTCCCCAGTCAGCATACACCTCCATCAACAAACACCCCATTAGCACACACTCTCATCAACTTCTCCTCCCCCAATCAACAGACACCTCCATCAACATACACCCCATCAGCATATATCCTTATCAACAAACCCCCCATCAGCACACACCCTCATCAACAAACACCCCATCAGCACACACCCTCATTAACTACTCCTCCCCCCAATCAACATACACCTCCATCAACAAACCCCCCATCAGCACACCCCCTCATCAACTCCTCCTCCCCCCAATCAACATACACCTCCATCAACAAACACCCCATCAGCATATACCCTCATCAACAAACACCCCATCAGCACACATCCTCATCAACTACTCCTCCCCCTAATCAACATACACCTCCATCAACAAACACCCCAATCTACATACACCTCCATCAACAAACACCCCATTAACATACACCTCCATCAACAAACACCCCATCAGCACACACCCTCATCAACTACTCCTCCCCCAATCAACATACACCTCCACCAACAAACACCCCATCAGTATATACCCTCATCAACAAACACCCCATCAGCACACACCCTCATGAACTAATCCTCCACCCAATCAACATACACCACCATCAACAAACACCCCAATCAACATACACCTCCATCAACAAACACCCCCCCAATCAACATACACCTCCATCAACAAACACCCAATCCGCATACACCTCCATCAATAAACACCCCATCAGCATATACCCCCATCAACAAACACCCCATCCGCATACGCCTCCATCAATAAACACCCCATCAGCATATACCCCCATCAACAAACACCCCATCCGCATACACCTCCATCAATAAACACCCCATCAGCACACACACTCATCAACTACTCCTCTTCCCCCAATCAACATACACCTCCATCATCAACACCCCATCAGCATATACCCTCATCAACAACTCCTCCCCAAATCAGCATACACCTCCATCAACAAACACCCCATCAGCATACACCTCCATCAACAAACACCCCATTAGCACACACCCTCATCAACTCCTCCTCCCCCAATCAACATACACCTCCATCAACAACACCCCATCAGCATATACCCTCATCAACTACTCCTCCCCAAATCAGCATACACCTCCATCAACAAACACCCCATCAGCATACACCTCCATCAACAAACACCCCATTAGCACACACCCTCATCAACTACTCCTCCCCCAATCAACATACACCTCCATCAACAAACACCCCATCAGCACACACCCTCATCAACTACTCCTCCCCCAATCAACATACACCTCCATCAACAAACACCCCATCAGCACACACCCTCATCAACTACTCCTCCCCCAATCAACATACACCTCCATCAACAAACACCCCATCAGCACACACCCTCATCAACTACTCCTCCCCCAATCAACATACACCTCCATCAACAAACACCCCATCAGCACACACCCTCATCAACTACTCCTCCCCCAATCAACATACACCTCCATCAACAAACACCCCATCAGCACACACCCTCATCAACTACTCCTCCCCCAATCAACATACACCTCCATCAACAAACACCCCATCAGCACACACCCTCATCAACTACTCCTCCCCCAATCAACATACACCTCCATCAACAAACACCCCATCAGCACACACCCTCATCAACTACTCCTCCCCCAATCAACATACACCTCCATCAACAAACACCCCATCAGCACACACCCTCATCAACTACTCCTCCCCCAATCAACATACACCTCCATCAACAAACACCCCATCAGCACACACCCTCATCAACTACTCCTCCCCCAATCAACATACACCTCCATCAACAAACACCCCATCAGCACACACCCTCATCAACTACTCCTCCCCCAATCAACATACACCTCCATCAACAAACACCCCATCAGCACACACCCTCATCAACTACTCCTCCCCCAATCAACATACACCTCCATCAACAAACACCCCATCAGCACACACCCTCATCAACTACTCCTCCCCCAATCAACATACACCTCCATCAACAAACACCCCATCAGCACACACCCTCATCAACTACTCCTCCCCCAATCAACATACACCTCCATCAACAAACACCCCATCAGCACACACCCTCATCAACTACTCCTCCCCCAATCAACATACACCTCCATCAACAAACACCCCATCAGCACACACCCTCATCAACTACTCCTCCCCCAATCAACATACACCTCCATCAACAAACACCCCATCAGCACACACCCTCATCAACTACTCCTCCCCCAATCAACATACACCTCCATCAACAAACACCCCATCAGCACACACCCTCATCAACTACTCCTCCCCCAATCAACATACACCTCCATCAACAAACACCCCATCAGCACACACCCTCATCAACTACTCCTCCCCCAATCAACATACACCTCCATCAACAAACACCCCATCAGCACACACCCTCATCAACTACTCCTCCCCCAATCAACATACACCTCCATCAACAAACACCCCATCAGCACACACCCTCATCAACTACTCCTCCCCCAATCAACATACACCTCCATCAACAAACACCCCATCAGCACACACCCTCATCAACTACTCCTCCCCCAATCAACATACACCTCCATCAACAAACACCCCATCAGCACACACCCTCATCAACTACTCCTCCCCCAATCAACATACACCTCCATCAACAAACACCCCATCAGCACACACCCTCATCAACTACTCCTCCCCCAATCAACATACACCTCCATCAACAAACACCCCATCAGCACACACCCTCATCAACTACTCCTCCCCCAATCAACATACACCTCCATCAACAAACACCCCATCAGCACACACCCTCATCAACTACTCCTCCCCCAATCAACATACACCTCCATCAACAAACACCCCATCAGCACACACCCTCATCAACTACTCCTCCCCCAATCAACATACACCTCCATCAACAAACACCCCATCAGCACACACCCTCATCAACTACTCCTCCCCCAATCAACATACACCTCCATCAACAAACACCCCATCAGCACACACCCTCATCAACTACTCCTCCCCCAATCAACATACACCTCCATCAACAAACACCCCATCAGCACACACCCTCATCAACTACTCCTCCCCCAATCAACATACACCTCCATCAACAAACACCCCATCAGCACACACCCTCATCAACTACTCCTCCCCCAATCAACATACACCTCCATCAACAAACACCCCATCAGCACACACCCTCATCAACTACTCCTCCCCCAATCAACATACACCTCCATCAACAAACACCCCATCAGCACACACCCTCATCAACTACTCCTCCCCCAATCAACATACACCTCCATCAACAAACACCCCATCAGCACACACCCTCATCAACTACTCCTCCCCCAATCAACATACACCTCCATCAACAAACACCCCATCAGCACACACCCTCATCAACTACTCCTCCCCCAATCAACATACACCTCCATCAACAAACACCCCATCAGCACACACCCTCATCAACTAATTCTCCCCCAATCAACATACACCTCCATCAACAAACACCCCATCAGCACACACCCTCATCAACTACTCCTCCTCCCAATCAACATACACCTCCATCATCAACACCCCATCAGCATATACCCTCATCAACTCCTCCTCCCCCAGTCAGCATACACCTCCATCAACAAACACCCCATCAGCATACACCTCCATCAACAAACACCCCATTAGCACACACCCTCATCAACTACTCCTCCCCCAATCAACATACACCTCCATTAACAAACACCCCATCAGCATATACCCTCTTCAACAAACACCCCATCAGCACACACCCTCATCAACTCCTCCACCCCCAATCAACATACACCTCCATCAACAAACACCCCATCAACAGACACGTCCATCAACAAACACCCCATCAGCATATACCCTCATCAACAAACACCCATCAGCATATACCCCAATCAACTACACCGCAATTAACGTACACCCATTAACCTAATCTCCATCAACCGCAGCTCTATCAACATAATCCCAATCAACTACATTCCAATCACAACCCCCCCACCCCCCCACCCCTCCGCCTTAACACCCCCATCAACTGCAGCCCTATCGACATAATCCCAATTAACTACATTCCACCACCCCACCTGCCCCCATTAACAACACCCCATCAACTGCAGCCCCATCAACATAATCCCAATCAACTACATTCCAACCCCCCCCCCCCC